ATATATATATATATATATATATATATATATATATTAAAAGTTTATTATATATGTATTTGTATAATTTTTATGTACATTTATTTACTAATATATTTACAATTTTTATTTTCTTTTATAATTATTCATATTTTTATGCTTTAACCTAAACCTTTATTAACAGAGTGACTCAAACATGGAGCGTGTGGCACATGCTTTGGGAGAGGCCTGTGTTCGTCTGCATCTGGCCGAGCCGCAAGTATGCCGAGAAATCACTGAGCTCTTCCGAGATGATTTCATCCGTGCGCTCCAAGAGTCCTTCCTCTGGCCCTCAGAGGCTTGTGCTCTACTGGTTGGACCTACCTGTGGCCATTTTGATATTTATGCCCACTGGAATGTGTCTCTCCCACGGATCCCCAAACCCCCAGTTAAACCGCCCACTCCTCCCAAACCGGGTTCTCCACAGAGCAGAATCCTCTTCCTCACGGATATCCACTGGGATGCGCAGTACGCTGAGGGCAGTCTTGTGGACTGTAAGATGCCACTGTGCTGTCGGAATGACTCTGGAAGGGCCAGTTGGAAGCACACTGGAGCCGGATACTGGGGCACGTATGGCGAGTGTGACCTGCCTCTGCGCACAGTAGAGAACCTTCTCCAAAACGTAGCCAAATCTGGCCCGTGGGATTGGGTGTACTGGACAGGAGACATTCCAGCACACAACGTCTGGTCTCAGACCCGGGCACAGCAGCTGAACGAGCTTGTCACCATCACTAGACTCATACACAAACACCTGGGGCCTAATGTAACCGTTTACCCAGCGGTTGGGAATCACGAGAGCACACCAGTGAATAGTTTCCCACCTCCGTTTGTACATGGCAATCGGTCGTCCCACTGGCTTTATGACACAATGGCAGAGGAGTGGGCATCCTGGCTGCCAGAGGAAGCCTTGGAGACGATACGGTAAAGTACTGATGGAAAAGACTTTATAAAGACTATATTATTTTTCTTAATGTTATTTATTATTATTATTATTATTTGTATTGTTATTTAATCATGTGGCTGTTTGATATGTATGCCCCTGGAATGTATCTTATTTAATAATAAAAATAATAAATTATTTATTTATTTTATTCCTATACATAATCATGTGGCCATTTTTTATATTTTGACCCCTTGGAATGTATCTTATTAAATTATTATTATTATTACCATTTAATTATTTTTTATTATTTTTATTTGTAATATAATATAATGTGGCTATTTAGATATTTGTCCCCTTTAACACATCTTATATTATTATTATTATTATTATTATTGTGGTTATTTTTTAACTATTTTATTATTACTACTATCATTATTATTATCAACATACACATTTATTTTATTTATTTATATGTATGTGTTTTGTCTTCTCTAGGCATGGAGGGTTTTACACAGTGGAAGTTCAGCGTGGTTTGAGGGTGGTGTCTTTGAACATGAACTTCTGTGCACGAGAGAACTACTGGCTGATGGTGAACTCCACAGACCCGGCGGATCAGCTACAGTGGCTCATTCGCATACTACAAGAGTCAGAGAACAAGGGAGAGAAGGTACAAGAAATTTACAGAAAGAAACCAGAAAACATCTTATTTTGTATTAAGAGCACAGGAAACCAAAAAGATGTTGAAGCCGTTTGCTTGCTGCAGCAATTTAACAAGTTGCAGCGTTAGTGTTTGTGGGTTAGGGGGTGTTTAAACATCCAGGCAACTGATCTCGAGTCAGACCAGCTTGAAGCGGATGTGTGACTGTTGGTTTTTGTGCAGTTTCGATTTTTAACTTGCAATTTTGCTGTTGCACATATGTTTGTATTTGGGCATTTGATATTAGATGCCAATGATCCTTCTACTACTAAATGTTACTCCAATTATGTTGTAAGAGGGACCACAACTTTTTTTTTTTTTTTTTTTTCTTTTCATTTTCAAAACAAAACCAAAAATCTTGGTTTATCTTGAATATCTTAAATTTTAGTTTGCGTTTTTTTTTTTTTTTTGGTGGGGTGGGTAGTTTAGGTTTGTTTAATAACCAGATCTAAGCAAAGCTCTGTCTGTCTCCGCTGGTCTCTCAGGTCCACATCATCGGTCACATCCCCCCGGGACTCTGCCTGAGCAGCTGGAGTTGGAATTACTATCATATAGTGAACAGGTCAGTCACTTTTCTGTGAACACATAGGATGGCCCGTCCTGCTGTACACAAGAGTTCACTTTCATCTGTTGTAACCCGTGGCTGAATCAGCACAGCTGCGTGACTGCAGCTTAAAGGGTTATAACAGTGTCTTTTATGATCACAAGTTTCATAGTGTTGTAAAAATGGGTCATGTTGACTCTAACTGCCTGGTTTTGAGATAATTGTATTTATTTGCCATATGTATCTGGAGGTGTATGTAATGCAGTGGTTAATGGTTCACTTTAGCAATCAGTCTGGTTCCTTCCTCTATAATTCTCTTTCATATTCCAGATATGAAAGCACCATAACTGGTCAGTTTTTCGGACACACACATGTCGATGAGTTTCAGATGTTCTATGATGAAGATACATTGACACGTCCACTAAGTGTGGCTTTCATTGCCCCAAGTGTGACCACTTACGTCAACCTGAACCCAGGTACTCACTAAACCATATTAGTTGATGTATATTTTATTTTTATTTTTTTTCCTTTTTTTTTTCATTGTAAAATCAATTATTATTTTGATTTTATTTTTTATTTTACTACTTTTTATTTTTTATTTATTTAGAGGAAAGTAATACTAATTAATCAAAAGTGACCGTTATTATAAAAAAGTTTTTAAAATACTTTTCTTTTGAACTTTCTATTCATAAAATAATCATTAATTGTATAGTGCTTTCTACACTATTTTTTTTAATCAGTTTATTTTATTACGGAGTTTTTTTACTTTTGCATATTGTTATTTTTAGTTTTTTTTTTATTATTTTAGCATTGCTTTATTTTATGTAGTTTTTACATTTCATTTTAGCGTTTAATTATATTTATTTTTTAGCATATAGTTATTTTTATTTTAGCATTTAGTTAGTCCCACAAAATGATGGCTTATTGCTGTAATATGCTTTTATGGTCAGGATATCGCGTGTATTACGTGGATGGAAACTACCCAGGCAGCAGTTGGATGGTTTTGGATCACGAGACTTTTATTCTTAACCTGACTCTTGCCAACAACCTGCCCTCAAAGCCTGACCCCAACCCATCATGGACCTTACTGTACCGCGCGTCTAAGGCCTACGGTTTGTCCACACTCTTCCCTTCAGACATGGACGCTTTGATCAAAGTCATGAAGAATGATGACCATGTCTTCCAGCGCTTCTGGTACCTCTTTCATAAAGGCCACGTCTCAAAGCCCTGCACAGACACTTGCAAGACGTCACTAATCTGCTTCCTGCACAGTGGCCGATACGACCTTCTAACGCATTGTGAAGTGCTACACGGAGATAAACACTCTGTTAGGAAGACGATGTGTTGAGAAAATATGAAACTTGCCATAGAGGTCTAATGGGTTTAATACCACGCCGACGTCACAGACTCTTGATTCATTTAGCACTTTCATTTGAACTTCTTTTTGTAGCATTTGTTACATTTGTCCTTGAGATCATCAAAAGCTGACTTGCTATGGACAACGTTGGTATTAAAAGCCTTAAGGCATCTAGTCAAGATAGGGTTAAAAACTCGGCAGTTCTTGTGAAGATGTGTAATTTAGAGCAGAGAACCAAAGTAAAGTATAACTGGTTGAAAGTGGAACAGGTAGTGACTTCACTGAATCATGTGGTGTGTTAGTGCCTCATAAAAACCACAGCTGCTCAAATGTCTCAGTCCTCATTCTCAGTTATGTTGTTGGGTGTGTTTTGCGTCACTTTAGAAGTGTTTTGTGTTATCATTTCCTGCATTGACCTGTAGTTTGCACACTGGAGTCTGTTGAAGGCCAGTTATAAAAGATAATGGTTTATTATCGTACACAATTGATTTAATTGGTAAAAATCATGATTTTTAATTTTTTTTCTCTGTGAACTGTCACACTTTCTGAAAATGGGTTTGTAATTATAGTGGGATTTTATGAATGTTGAATGGATTGTCTGAAGGTCTTTATTAAATAAAGAAATATTTTGCAAGGTGATTTGTTTGTAGATTTAAGTCATGTACAGTACTGTTCAAATGTTTGTGATTGATTATATTTTTGTTGAAAAAGCAAATTTGAGCAGCTATGCATTAAATGAATCAAAAGTGACAGTTATCACAAATTTCTGTTAAAAATAAATGCTGTTCCTTTAAACTTTCAATACATATCATTTTCAAAAAATGTATTGCCGTTTCCACAAAACTAAGCAGTCACTGTTTTCAACATTGATAAAAATGAGAAATGATTAGGTACCAAATCATATCAGAATGATTTCTGAAGGCTCATGTGACTCAAAAGATTGGTGTAATGATGCTGAAAATTCAGCTTTGCGTCACAGGAATAAATTACATTTTCAAATATATTCAAATATAAAACAGTTTTGTAGTTATTTAATATTGCCATTTTTACTGTATTTTTATCAAATAAACACCGCGTTTGTGAGCATGATATATCTATTGAAAATATTTAAAGATACATATTTATCTAAATTTTTAAATGTGTATTTAAATGATTCTCATTATTTCGTATTAATTAAACCCAACTGCAATAAGTGGTTTAAGATATGGCATTCAAATTCTAACTACAGTCTGTTGAAACCGTAAAATGGGCAAGTCTCGTGACTCGTGCTGTTACTCTAAATATTCTAAATCGTTCAATACTTAAAACGTGTAAAATGTGAGGCAGTGCAGGACAGAACCACTAGGAGTCATCATAGATCATACCTGATGACAGCATGTACTCAGGAAATATTTAAACACATATTTTTCATGTGAGCAGGTGTTTGATATGTAAATACTTTCGTTCTGTATAATTTCCTTCACAGAATCATTTTAACTGCTGCCAAAGGTAAATAGAAGCGGAGTACAACTACCAAAAACTAAAGTACTGAAAATTTCCAATACATTTTTTCACATAAAAAGACAACCAAGGAAATACAATGTAATGAAAACATTTTTACCAAAAAAAAAAAAAACACATTCAGATCTTATATATCTGTAGGTTTATCTGGAGTGTTTACATTGGCTTCAGTTTGCAGCTCATCATAAGTATGCCTCAAGAGACACATCTACTTATAAGAAAGGACTAAATTGGTAAACATCATCCACTGTCAGAAAATTTTCTCCTCAAGGGTCTGTGAAAGACAACGTCACTCCAAAGTCTTCCTTGTATATGTCCCAGGTCTTAGATTTGTGTGGATTGTCCAGCTCCTCCCTCGAAAGATACAGTCTATGACACAAACAACAACACAAAGATTTCAGCTCTCCAAAGAAAGAAAAAAAAAAACGTCCAAAACTACTGACAAAAAATCCCACCTGTTGTTCTCAACAAAAGAGGTGTTAAACCAGAAATAGAAAGGACAGTCCTCGTAACCCTTTGGCAAACCCTGGACAGAGAGAAAAAAGGAGTTCAAGCAACAGTGAACCTCATTTAAACGTTCTGCTGACAACACTTCATCAAATATATGAGTCAATTAAATACTAATAGTGGAGACTTACAGCACTGGACTCAAACATGACCTTCACATCTCCAGTCACAACAGGCCCTTCCTGTAAACTGATGATCACGGCATTGTTACCAGTGTCAGGAAACACCTGGAGAAAAAAAAACACGACAGGACGTTCAGGAATGTAGCTACATAGTATTGTGCTTAGATAAGTGTTTAGTACGCTTAAAGTTGCTTGCTTTGCCCTTTTTTATATAGAACATAGAGAAATGTGTTAAACCTGACAATCATGACTAGCTTTAGATACTTACCGCACAGTTCTGCTGTTTGGCACAAACACACTGGAAGGCAAGCTCTCGCTTCACTATGATCTTCACCTTCAGGTCGCTCCCGTTACCCTTCCCTACACCTGAACAACAACCACAGCCATGGGAAAAGTACACTGCTTCTATACAATCTACCATAGTTTTTCCTTTGTTTACTTAAAGTAAAATTTAATACCTAAATATTAAGTTGTATGAAAATACATTTTAATATTGAATATATCATTCAATATGAATATTTGCAATATATTATTTCACATTCAACTCTTCATTCACATACATATATATATATATATATTACTTTTTTATTTTCAATATATAAACATTTTATTTCACATATTTCACATGTTTAAATGAATACGTTTTATAAGTAATATATTTATAATAACAGTATTAATAATAATTGACTACAGGCTTGGTTTCACCTGCGATGGAGTGGATTCGAATGCTCTTTATTTTCAGGCTCTTCTGAGGTGGCAGCTGAAGGTTGTATTGGTTCTTCATGGTCTCATAATAACTGACGTACCTACTCTGCAAGTGCAAAACAAACAGAACATTTATCAGTTAAAAAAAGGACTATATACATTCACTGGTTACTGTTGGCTTCATGGCTTCCAATCCAGTGTCACACACCTGTGAGGGAGTTTCAACACCCTGGAACTTTGAGCTCATACTTTTATCAGTCCGTCTCTCCCCAAAGTAGTCCAAACTCTCCTGTAAGATGGTTTTTTAAGAACATTTGAACACAATCCTGGATGAGAAGGATTAAATAAATGTAAACATGGATGAGCAGGCTGTACCTGTGCGCTCTCAAACTGGTCGCTGTCGATGAGCCACGTGCACACCATAGTCCCAGTCCGCCCTATTGAACAAAACCCAAACTGTTAAACACTTCAGACAGACTGCATTCACAAACAACACTGAAATCCCATCAAACAACAGACCTTTTCCTCCTTTGCAATGGATGGCGATTACATTCCTGGAGTCTGCCGCCATCCACTCCCTAACACAGGCCGTGTACCGCAGCATATCTCTGACAGCATTACCAACAGACAGAGCTTCAATCACGCCTCAAAGATGACAACATGCTTGCTAAGAAATACACTTCTGCAACATGTTTTGATGTTCAGTTGTGCTGGCAGCACACTTACTCGAGTGACGGCACGTTATGGTCATCTATCATAATACGCTCCACTCTATAGTGAAAGAACTTTGGATCGTAACCCTTCTCACCTGAAACAAGACGTCAGATTAGCCACCATCTTTATCATGCCTTTTAGAAATTATGAGACTGTAGAAATGATCTTTACTAGCAATTAAGGCAAAATTATCTGATCACAATCATGAAGAAAATCGTCTACTCACTACAGAGATTAAACACCTTGTAGTGATCCACATGCTTGGTGTCCAGGAATCTAGCGACCTCCTGAAATGTGTCATTTATATTCTGATCATACAATGAACAATTCAAATATCTAAACTACTTTACATGCAATTCAAATCTTCTTAAACGTTTGAGTCATGCTGGTGTCTTACTCTGATAGGGTTCCTATAGAGTGCCTGCTTCCCAGAAGATGGAAAAGACATGGCAATGACTCTTTCTGAAGAGAAAGAAGACCAATGATGAATCACTTTGGTTTGCAAATTAATTCATTTTGATGTCGTTTATAATGGTTCGTGTGAATTTAAAAAGGTACATCTGATGCTAAATAAAAGACAAAAAAACATGAAGATTAAATGAAAGGGCTATACAAAAAAAAGACAATAACAAAAAGCAACCAAACCTGTGACATAAGTGAGGTCCAGATCAAATCCATCTTTTTGGTACCGCCTTTTGTTCTCGGACACCTGTGAGAATTATGAAAGTTTATTTATATAGTACATTTCATACGAGAAAAATTGCTTTACGTGAGAGTGAGAAATGTAAAAATAATTTAAGAACATATAAACAAAGACAAGAAAAAGACTAAACAGAAGACTAAAAACTAAATGAGGAAAATAAATGTAATTTAAAAATGGAATGAAAAGTACACTACCAGTCAAAAATCTGGAATAATTAATTTTGTATATATATTTTTAAATAATATTTCATAATATTGCTGGTTTTACTGTATTTTTTCATCAAAAATGCACCCTTGGTGAGCATATACATCTTATGACATTGAAACAGATTTTTAAAAAGCAGTGCAAATCAAATAGAAATCACACTCATTGGCTAAAGAGACACAATCACAGTTATTATAATGACCACACCACAAAATGAGACAAACAACAGTTTCTTGGTGTCACTCACCATTCTCCTGGTGACCTTTTCAAGCTCTTTCTTCTGAGAGGCCAGTCTGAAGATACGTACCAGAATCAATATCCTCAGAGATCTCAGGAAAGTGACCACTCTGCAAACACACCATATTAATGTCGTTATACTAATATAATATTGGGTGAAATGTGAGCATGTTCTGTTAAATCTGCTGTATACCTGGGAATCAGGCTGGCTCCGGAGAGATCGGAGAATGCGTAGATCATGGTGACCACCAGGGTAACAACCACAATACAAGCATCTATTATATTCAGCTTTGAGCTGAAATACACCTTGAATCTGAGAAAGATGATGATTGAAGAATGGTTTATCAGAGATTGCTAAGGAATAGATCCTGAATGTGTAAAATAATACCTTTGCACCAGGTTTTGATAACGCTTATACTGTACATAATCATATTGCAGAGCTTGTTTGCCATTTAACTTATTTTTGTGCTTGAGTTCTAGGAAACTAGTCCAGAGTGATAAAAACTTATTTGGGGAAAAACAAACCGGAAATGTGTTTCCTGCAGATCATTTCCTATCATGAGCAACTCATCATGTGAATCAAGCACTACAGCACTATTGGTTACCGTCAGTCTAAAGCATTTTGTAAATGACGTTTGAATTAAAGGGGTCATATGATGCTTTTTTAAAGATCATTATTTTGTGTATTTGGTGTAACAGAATATGTTGACATGCTTTAATGTTCAAAAAACACATTATTTTTCAAATACTGTACATTATTGTAGGTCCTATATGCCCCGCCTCTCTCAAACGCTTCGTTTTCTACAAAGTCCCCTCCTTTGACAAGCGCAGTCCGCTCTGATTGGCCAGCTGACCCAGTGCACTGTGATTGGCCGAACACCACAAGCACACGTCGTAAATGTAACGATAAAGAATATCTCTTTGGTTTTGAGACTTTAGTCTTTGCAACTTCAGGGATC